AGTGTCAGATAAGTATGATACTTTCTATGAACTCCAGCCAGCTCACCAAACCAGCGTGTAATTAATGACAGGAAAACCATGGCCTCGGTTCACTTCTCTGTCGATCATCTCTGTGGGTATGCACAGCATTTCCCTTTAATCCCTTGTGGAGGAGATCTGCTGAGTTTAAATTATGCTCAGAAACCTATGCTCTGCGTAACACGCTGGGGTGCTTGCTTTTGCCAACGGCAGTATTACAGCGACAAAAAGTAAATGGGAGTTTATCCTCAGAGCAAGGCTTCCAGCCTGCAAAAAGGGCAGGCATTTTCCTTCTGTCTGACTCAGACTTTCCGGACTGAAATCTTTTGGTTGCACATTAAAAGTGGCAAATGTTGTCAGAATTAACTTTTAAATTCTGTGCTTTAGGAGTCAGAAAATTTTTACTTTAGAAAAAGCATCCGATTTTGTGCCAGCTGTTTTCATGGTAAACTATGTGACTGTCTTGAAGTTGAAATGAAAGAGGGGAAAATTTCCTTTAGTTCAACTGCTACTCTCATAATAATCATAGTTATGGTTAAACTTGCAAATGGTATCTCCCAAGTGCAAAGAGAACATTTGTTTCTGCTTTTTTATCTCTATAAACTAGGGCTCCGTCTCGCCTGCCATTGTATTCCAACCAGCACAGCTCCCGGCCGAGGAAAAGCACTCGCTGGGTTGCCAAGACATTCTTTTACATGACTAGCTCTTTCCTCTGTAGTTATTAATGTGTCACATATCATAGGCTCAGCTTGTCTAATATTATGGGAAAACCTACTAGAAGGAGAGAAAAATAAAGGAAACTTCCAGGGAAATTGATTAAAGGGAAATAAGATATTTGACCCAATTTAGTGGAACAAAATATGGTCAGTAATAGAAACTATTTAAATTCCTCAGATGGACACACAGTTCTTTAGTAATAAGTTTTGTTTGTTTTGTTTTTTTACCACCTCGGAATATCTATTATAAGAAGAAGATTTTAGACTCCTTCTCTTGTGCCAAAATGCAATTGTTTGCATTTTAAGGGAGTCATGAGCACAGCTTAGCATCAGCAAACATGGATCACATGAAACCTCTTTGGGGAGGTTTAACCAGGATCCATGAGAATAAACACTAGGACATAGTGTGGACGATGCTCCTAAGCCTTACACTCACATCTCGCAGGCACTTGCAGAAAGCAGGTTTGGGTTGCTGACAGCATGGAGTAAAACAAGCTGCCTCACGGGTGCCTACGGGGTGACTCAGAACTCCCTTCAAAACTGCTCCTTCTCTGCTCTGCGGGTGCTTCGGCCGAGGAGAGAAACACAACTCCAGCGATCAATCACTCACCGAGAAATGAGTTTCAGCTCATAGTGAAAGGTAAATCAAAGCAAATGAATAGAGCTAACGTTACAGAAATTGTCTTGAAGGTTTGAAAATAATGATCAGGTCTGCAAATATCACAGCCCTCCATGGGCGATTCGCCAAGAGGCTTGTTGCTATTAGGGTTGCATTTGAAGGGACAAGTTAACTCAGTAACCCTGCCTGCCTGCGATATCACCACCTTCTGTGATAGCCCTGCCTGGCCCAGCGAGGGCTCACCAGAGCTGGGTATGCCTGTGCCTAAGCAGGGATGGACATTCGGGCGTGCACAACTGCCGTGCAGCTCCGAGGGGTGCACATGCTGCTGCACGGACCCATCGGCTCTGGATCCCGGGGACATCTCACATAGCACCTGTGGGGCTTGCTGCCATTTCATGGATTCAGCGTGGAGCAACACTCAGGAGAGAGGATTTTTCTCACCTTTCCAGCACCACACCTACAAGACAGCAGCTTTTTATCCCCAGCTAAGTGATGGCCTGTTGCTACAATTATCAGAGGGCTTTCAAATGTCTTTGCCTCCTCAGCGGCTTCAGAATGGATCAACAGGCAACAGGAGAAAAAAGCTGCAAGCTGCTGAATGTGCAGGCTTGCCTGGATATGAAGTCCATTTTAAGGCATAGCTGATCATTTAACAACATATCACCTCCTTGGTCCTCCCACACAGCTGCCTGGGGAGGAACTTGCTCCGGATGATGCTTTGAACCTGTGAAATCCCCTCCTAAAACCTGTCAAGTGCTGAATGTGACACAGATGAGGTGGAACCAAATCGCCCCATGAAAAGCAGATACTTCACAGTTCTTGCTTCATTGCAGCTAATGATCTGCTGACACCAGTGGGAGTTTTTAGCTGGGATCGGCTTTTGCTGAGGAGAGCACTCAGATATTCTGTTGGTAGCAACAGTGCTCTCGGGGGAACCCCACTGGTGGGGAAATGGCCAGTTATCTCAAAGCTGCTACTTAGTAAGGCTTTCCCAGTGGGATATTATTCACAGCCACCAGACAGAAAAGGTCTTATGGGACAGCCCCTGAGGACAAGGGTTCCCAGGTGGCCATGTCAAAAAAATGAAAAGCAAACAAAGGTAAAAAAAGAGAATCCCAGCAGCACACGAAAGTGGGAGGTGGGACACAAGGAGAAAATGTCACGGAGCCCCAGCGTGCCCCTTCTCGGCAGGTCACCCGAGCTTACCTGAGACTGGGAGCTCTGCAGCATGTGCAGATTGGCTGGGAGAAACTGAGATTATCATCTCTAGTGTGATTAAACCTGCATTGCTAACGCTGGCTGAACCAACTAATGTTTTTAACCATCTTCCCAGAACTGGGCTGAGATCAGGAAGTGCTACTGAAATGCAAAAACGTTGCTAAATATGCAACATGCTTTTTAGATGGAAGAGGCTTATTACTCCAGATCACTTTCCGCTCTCTTCCCATGAGTTCAGAAAAGCACAGTCCTTTAACATATCTCTCCAAATCACCAGTATATCCAGTATTCCAAAAATAAAACTTACTTTTTTTTTTTTTTCTTTTCTTGGGGGACAAATACATTTTTCCTGTAGGAGCTTTGCCAGCATTTTCATACTTTAATTGTAAAAAACATAAAAATAAGCCACTTATACTGGTATCTCCACTCTCAGCTTTTTTATGCCTCTAGGACTCATCAAAGCAAATACATCTCAGAATAAATGCCTAGACATCTTAAGCCATTGTAAACAGCAGTCATTGCACAGGCAAATTAGGTGTGCACATACAATTCGGAAAAATATGATCTTATTCTGTAAACCACGACCGGATTTCTGCCTGAATGCTCTTTGGTGATGGGCACAAATACAATGTGCAATTGTGGAAGGGTCTTAGAAATGCCTGGCTAACTCTCATTTGCTTTTTCTGTAGAAGAATTTGCATAAGTGGGGCATGATCTGCGGGGTTCCCTGCATGACCCGGGGACCATCCACCCTCTGCTCTGGGCTTGTGATGTTTTTCTGTACAGTGGGTGTAGGAGTCACACCTGGAGATTCCCCACCCGAGTAGCTTCCCATTGCCCACAGGAATGGGCTGTTGCCACTCGGAAAAGAAATTGAGGGAGAAGCCAGGTGATCCCTTGCCGCAATTCCCTGGTTATCCACAGAAGCTGCAGTTTGCTGAACATTTCCTTTAGCAAATGGGCCTTTGTTTCAGCAGGGACACGTTTGGGGTGGAGGCCACTATTGTTTCAGCCATCTGGTCCCATAAAGGATGGTAACCGTTTCCTATGGAGAAAGGTGGTGGCTACTCCCACCATTCTCCCTTCCCCATCACGCTGCTGGAAGACTTCACTCAGCTGCTAAATGCTCCGATAGTTGGTATCTTCTCATAAGCATTGCCAAGAGATCACACGTACCCATCATCCTCTCCTTAGCCTTGCCTTTTTATTCATTTCTACTGTTTTTTAAAAAGCTGCCATCAATAATTCACTAGTCACAATTTCTCTTGATTTCCCATCCAAAATTGGCGCCTCTCTTATTCTAAGCTGTTGTTATTTAAGGAAAGCCTGCATCTCGATAAATAAAACTCACACATGAAAAACTCTTCAATGACTTTCTTCACATGACTTATGGCAAGACAGGTTCTGCTAAAGGCGTGAGTCATTCAGCAAAGGGAGAGGAAAACTGTTCATTATGTATTTGTGAAATCCCCAAACCGCTGAAAAGGCACCATTTACCAACAAAAAGCATCACAGGATGCACATGAACCAGCAAAGTGGGTGGAGCCCTTCCAGAAATGACTGTGCCGGGGGGGTGTACCTCATCACAGGCCTCTCTTTCTCAGGATCCAGTACGTTAAAATGAGTGGGAGGTGCAGGTTTCTCCGCTTACATGCTTGTAGGATTTGCCCCCCAGAAATCAAAACTGCATTTTCTTCTGTCCCTCAGGGGAATACCAGAAGAACCCGGGCTTTCCCTCCTTCAGCTGCAGGCTGCTGAGCTGCACACCCCTTAGCATCAATATATAGAAAAAACAATAATCAGGACGCCCCTGAGCCTCAAAACCAAACCTGTACCTCCATTTCAGCTGTGGTCCTGCCACAGATCAGATGACTGTGGCCACTCCTTTAGCAGACAGGACTGGCCACAGTGATAGGATCTGGCCCAGGTTTGAATTCAAAACTTCCAACCACCTGTCAGCTTGAGGATAACAAGTTCTAGTTATGCCTCCTCTCAAAATAAAACCACTCCCAGAAAGGCAGGCAGCTTGCACACTTATGCACAAACAGGGAGCATGTATATATGCCTCTATACGCACACCCACACTGGCTCCCTGCTCCCAGAAAAGACCTGCTAGCCAGAAAGATCCAGTAGCAACACACTAATAAAATTTGCAAAAGCCCTGAAGTCCCTCGCTGTCCTCACAAGCTCTAAGCACGGTGAAGAGCCGCCTGCTGCCAAAGCTTGTTTCGGGAGAGGTAAAGGTAAGAGCCACAGGTCACTCAAAGGGTGGCACAGACCCAGCCGGCATAGAAAGAGCAGAGCACGTTGTATTTGCCTATCTGAGCACGTTGGGTTTTTTCCCCTCAGTGCTAGCCTGGAGCAGAGGGACAAGATGATCGTTGTTGCAAGAGAGAGAGAAGGAACAAATCTCAGGCGATACTTACAGCATTCAATGGGGTTCGATGCTGCTTGCAGAGAAATGATCCTGCCGTTGGACTCTGGGATATGCACGCGGAAGACGAGCCGCACACGGGTGTTCTTCCTGCCGATGTCCGTCTCTCCCTTGCGCAGCTCGATGTCTGCATTCCTCAGCTTCAAAATCCCTGCGCAGTCAATGCTGCCAAACACACACACCGTTTAGCTTCACATTTCTGCTCTTAAACAGCTTGGAAATAGGTGACAGGATTAAGCTGTTTTGCTTTGACCTCTGGGTTAAGAGCAGTTCCAAATGCTTGTTCTGCTTAGGATCTAGATACTGCCATTTCAGCAGTTACAGGGGAAGAAATCCCAGATACACAGCGAGTGAGGGATGCTGCCAGACCTCTCCCTGAGGATCCTGGGCCCGGTGGCTCAGCGCATCCCAGGCACGTCCCAGCCAAGGGCAAGGGGTGGCCTTTACTCTGGGGCCAGCCAAAGCCACTCTCCAAACATTATAATCCTGAGCTTTATTTCCCTTCTGTGCTAAGCACAGGAGTGCACATGGCAGCGCCCACCCCAGCCCCCTGGGGCCAAGAGAGTGAACCAAAACAAGAAGTGCACACCGGGGCAGGCAATAAGCTGAGCCAGAGCCCTCTGTGAGCTAGAGAGCACTAAAGCTTCCACCACCACCTCTCCAAACAGCTCAGTGCCCAGAGACTGCACAGCAGCTATTGCCTGCACGTGGGCAAATTAGTTCAGCTCCATGAGGAATCACAGCAGCTGAACCAGCTAATTGCATGTGCCATCCAGGCATGGTTTCCCCGCAGTTTGTACAAGCAAACATTGAGTTCAAATTCAAAGCAGGAACCAAACTGCTCTCCCCTCCTTTTGAACAAGCTAGGTGCTTCTCCTAGAACTGGGCTCTCCAGCCCTGGCCCGGGTCACTGTGCCATCCTCCCAAGCCCTGGGATGTTGATCCCAGCCAAGGCAACAGCCTAGCGGTGCAGAAAATGGTTCTCTGCTCCCATTCACTGTGTCCCTGCACAAAGGGAGGATGTAGGGAGCAGAATGGGGCTGAGTGGCAATGAAAGGAGTAGGACTGCTTAAATCAACATTGCAACATAACATTGGTGTAAGTGCAGGTTAACCTCTTAAGAGTCCAGTGTAACCCAGCAAACACGCCTGCCTACATTAATGGCAGTGTTAAGGAAACGTTTGGACTTGATGACCTTAAAGGTCTTTTCCAACCTAAGCAATTCTATGATTCTATGATTAAGAGAATGTGCCAATTAATATTTACAGAATCTTCAGCTTAGCAATAGTCCTCGGAGGGTGCACTGTTATTAGACAGGCACTGCTGACCCACTTTGATATCAGTTTTAAAAACATACCATTTTTTTTTCTTTTGATATGAATTAAAATCACATTTTGGGAGGCATAAACCCCAAGCTGTTTCCTACACCCACAGTGTTCCTTGCCACTGCATGTGTGCATGGGTTTATTAGTCCAGGGTTACTCGTTAGGAACAGACAGTGACGTTCCATTCAGCACTTGGCTGCTAAGTTTGAGATGCGGCCTTTTATTTATCTCCTTGGGTGCAGAGGGAAGGAAAGGGAGGAATAAGGTATATTTTCTGAAAAAAAGATATACAAACAAAGAATGTGGATTTTGCGATGAAGTAGGGGAGCTTAAAAACATAGCTGCTCTGCCAATTTTGTCTGTATCCTCTGAAGGATGGAGATACAGCTCTTCCCTCTGCAGAGCAATCACTCTCATGCTGCCTGGCACACATTCAAGCCTGAAGTTTCAGACCAGTGCCCACTTCATCCCTCTGCCTTCATAAAACTGGAAGGAGTAATACAAAAAAGATGTGTCTGCACTTGCTTTTCTGTTAACCTATTACGACAAGAGAGTGCGATTTCATGACCAGAGCACTTGGCTGAGTTCAGGAGAGATGTTTTCTATTCCATTAAATGTCATAAAATGAACCGTACACCTCTCCTCCGCTGCCTACTGCTCTTTGCTTCTCATTGCATCACTGCAGCATGAGGACGTGAGATTCGAGTCTCGTTTTCCTTAGCACCCTACAAAACCATTCTGACTTTGAAGGTGACAGATGATTACAACATAGTCACCACGGCAATTTGGGTGATGAGCAAAGATGCCTGCATGGTCAGCTGATAAATGGTAACTCTTTAAGCAGCTTTAACCCAGGTGCTTGTAACTGCTGCTCACACTTTTGTAAAAAGGGTCTTACATTCATATATCATTCCGATACTTCGGAGAGGGGAGTCCCTCCAGAGCAGACATCTTTATTCATTTAAGTGACTCCTTTCCACAAGAGAAAGAACTTCACATGCCAATTTAATCCTCCTCAACTTTGCTAATAAAAAGAAATATGCTTACGTTGCTTTCATGTTGTTTTTGGGTTCCAGTGGGATCTCTAAAACTTTGGTGTTGCCAATGATTTTTTCATAGCTGGTGGTGGTGACGGTTTTTCCCGTAATGCGATGGACTTGATAGAAAGCATGAGGTTTAAGTATCCGTTCGTCTGCTGTCCCAATGAAGATCTGAAGACCCAAGGGTTTGTTCTCCATGTAACCGTGAAGCTGGCAAGACATCAAAAATCTGTTATCACACACAGGGCTTGCAGTGCCTTCATATCAGGAAACCAAATAGATCTACGTACATATATACAGATGCAGGGACTTATAGAGACATGAAGATATGTGTAGCACAGACTCTTTTCTGCTCTCAGAGACAGACATACTCTTAAGAGCGCATTTGCTGGAGTCCATGATACATAGGGAAAGGAGCTAATGGAAAACATGGTTATAATGCTAAATATATCAAGAAGACATAAAGAATATATCAAGAAGAAAAAATTCCAGACAAGCTCTCCATTACCAGAAATGTGTTAGTTGCCTCCAAAACAGATTGAGAAATCCACTCAAAAGGTATATTTCTGAGTACACTTGTTTAATTTGCAGTGACCAATTCCTAAATGAGGTTCAAAAGATTTTTCCTCTGTGGGGTGGATAACACTGCAAAGCGGAGCTGACTCCCTGCACCCGCAGCCTTGGGCAGTGCTTCCTGCTTCCTCAGC